GACTGGAAGCGAACACAATGAAACTTGCAAGGACTTCAGGGCAAAACTCCGTGCTAGCCTGAAGAGGGGCCGCGAATCCTGTTAGTCTCATCGTGCGTCAGAGATGGATATAGCCACTGCCCTTGGTTGCCATCGGAGTTTATTTCGTCTAATACGGGAAACTGGCGACAGAAAATCTGGTGTTAGTAATAATGTATGTGACGGGAGTGGGCAGATGATCCACAGCTTGTCAAAACGCTTGACGCCTTAGATTAAGCAATGTAATCCGGCGGAAACATTAGATTTCTCAGCTATCAGTGATCGACATGTTTCGTGGGCTGTCCGTTTGCTTCCACCCTCTCACTCAGAAGTCGAACGTGAGCTCGGACTACTGAAGTCGAATAAGGCTGCGGAATCAGATGATCTTCATCTAGCCCTCTACAAATTCGCGGACCCTGCTCTTTTTGCCGATTTACACGAGTTATCATTGAAACATTGGTGGCAGAAAGCTGTGCCAACCGACTGGAGCCGCTCCATTATAGTCCCAATTTTCAAGGGACTCTTATTTTCAGAACGCTGCAGCCATAGAGTGATCTGTCTGAACTCCATCGCCTCCAAATGTCTTGCCTTTGTCATCCTTCAGAGGCTGACTGGCACTCGGGAAGACCAGATCCGCTAGGAGCAGGCTCGGTTTCGTTGAGGTCGGAGCAGTATCGACCACAGGTTTACTTTGCGTCAGTTGCTGGAGCACCGTCACATATACTGGCGTCACACCGTAGTCGCGTTCCTCGACATTAAAGGTTCTCCCCATTCGGTTGATCCATGGTCCCTTTGTGTCTGTCTGCTAAGGATAGGCGTGCCCGCGAAATATGTAAATATTATCCGAGCGCTTTACGCGCGTAGTTTGGACGGAGTGAGAGTTTAAGCAAGCTGTCGGCACCCTTCCATATCTCTAGCGATGTAAGACAAGGATGCTCGCTGTCACCTTTCTTGTTGCCTTTGTTATTTTGTAAAGCACGGAAAGAAGACGAAGACTGGTAGATGCATGCATTTCTTATTGTCTCCTCAGTATCATTAGTAATAACCGTGCTTTTTAAATTGTTGGAAGGAACTAACTACGTTAAACTTTACTGTTGACGAAGTTATGGAGTTTGCTTTCGCGTGACAGACTTAGCGAGTGTGGAGCTGCTCCCAGGTGAACGACTTTCTTGCGTTGGAATATGCTGACGACATTGGCCTTATCTCTGCCAGTTCACAATGGTGCCAAGCTGCACTGGGCAGATTAGCACTGGTTGTAATCCTTTTTGGGCTTTGCTTTGCACCCTCGCGGTGCAAGATTGACAGGAACGGCCTTTTACACAGACCCTTGGTGGAGATCAGCCAGAAGTCATTCAAAAATTCAACTACCTAGGAAGCTGTTCAGCTTCTGTGGAATAGAAAATGAGATTACGCATCGTATAGCAAAAGTTGTAGTCACCTTTGCTAGACTTTGTCACCTGTGGCGTAGGCGCGGCTGAACTCTCGCTCTGATAGACAGAATTTACAATGTGGCCGTTCGTTCGACCCTACTGTATGACTGTGAAACCTGGCTCATTAGGTCATCAGACGTAAGGAGGAGTCTAGTTGCCTTTGCACTTGGCCCATCTCTGATTGGAACACTGTGTGAGCAATGAGCGTGTTCGACGCCTCATTTATGACACAGAAAAAGGATCTGAACCACTCAGCACCGTCATTTCACGCACCAGGCTCCGATGGTTGGGCCATGTGTTGCGCATGCCAGCCCACCGACTTCCACGACGTGCGTTGTTTGTTCACCGGGGATGTGGATGGAAGAAGAGGAGGGGTGGCTAAGCGATGACTTGGTCCAGAGGAATGAAGGCCCTCACTTCAGAGCTGGCCTCGGTTTGAGCGTCACGGCTCCCTGGTTGGGGTCCAAAAGACGGTGAACACGTTTGGCTGGATACACTTGCTGACACGGCAAGGAGCCGACCTCAGTGGCGTTCCTGCTGTGAGTTTCTTTGTCCCTCACCCTCCCTTTTAGCCTCCCCCTCCACCTACAATCTCATTTCATAGTGTAAAACATAATAATTCTTTTTGCCAAGTAGCCGACTGGTAGCTTACCGGAACGATGATCATCCGTTGCTGGTAGATCAGCTGGCATGTAACTGTTGTATTTATTTTCCTTTTCCTTTATGTATTGCGGCACAGTAGCTGAGGTGTTTCGCACCTCTAGCTGACGTGTATAATGATGCGTTGAACGCCTTCGCAGTTTGGCTCATATCTAGTTGGAACACCATGTGAGCAATGAGCGTGTGCGACGCCTTGTTTACGGCACAGAAAAAGGATCTGAACCACTCAGCACCGTCATTTCACGCACCAGGCTTCGATGGCTGGGCCACGTGTTGCGCATGCCAACCCACCGACTCTGACGTACATCTTTTTTGCTCGCCGGGGTGTGAATGCAAGCGGTTGGCGCTTACGCTAGCCGCAAGTTGACGAAGACGGAGCGAAACTGTTGCACCACCAGAAAGGAAATGCTTGCTCTTATCACTTTCGTTAAACATTTCCGACATTTCTTGTTGGGTCGACAATTTGTAGTCCGTACCGATCATCAAACACTCCGGTGATTGCGGGAATTTCGCGAACCCGTGGGGCAAGTTGCGCGCTGACAAGGACAACTGTAGACCTTCGAATTTGAATGTCAACATCGTCTCGGGAAGCAACACAGAAATGCAGACACGCTGTCTCACCGGCCGTCTAGAGCACATGGGACTGTCCGTCATGCTCAACCCCGAATGTTGCCGTTGTGTCTCTAAACCATTCGGATTAAGCAAATTAGGCATCAGCCCACAGTACAGACCCATAGACCAAGTTGATTTATGAGTGCCTACAGCAGGGAAGTGTGAAGCCTACGAAAGCAGTAATGGCTGTGTCTAGCTGGGAAGCGCACTGCTTGTGGTCTCTTTGGTCGAAAATTCGGTTATTGGATGGTATCATGGATTACCAGTTCGGTCCGAATTACCGCAACCGACTTATCTTTTCACAATCCTAGGTGCTGCGGGTACTTGAACAGTTACATAAGAAGTTGGGGCCCACGGGACAACGGAAAATGGAGCAAGCTGCAGGATTTCGTTTTTGATGACCTCAACAGCGAACTTCTGTAGCGCATTCCATGAGTGCATCCGTTTTAAACAACCGCAACCGATGAATAGAGCCCCCCTGCAGTCCGTAGTGAACGAATATCCCAACGAACCGGTAGGTGGAACGCCCTTGGACCCCTGTCTGAAACGCCGCGAAGGAATCGGTATGTGCTTGTTTTGGTCGATTACTTCACGAAATCGTGTGAGGAAGTATCAACCTCGTACATTGACGCTAAATCCACAGCTCAGATTGTGTTTGACCACTGGCTTTCACGATGGGGAGCACATGAGCAACTTCATTCATATCGTGGTTCGAATTTCGGAAGCTTGGTAGTGTCAGAACTCTGCCAAATATTAGGCATTCGAAAGACTCGGGCAACTGTCTACCATCTGCAGGGCAACAGCCAAGTAGAGTGCACAAATCCATCGCTAAAGGCTCTCTTAAAAGCGTTCTCAGAGGAACACAACAGCCGCGATTGGGATATCGCACTTCCACGGTGCCTCCTGTCTTACCGGTCCAGCGTTCACTCGTCTACTGACAACACTCCACACTTCATGGTAACTGGGCGCGAAATGAAATTACTGATTGATTTGACTGTGCCAACCGCGGCTACTGATTCGCTCCTTGCCACAGATTATGCCGTTCATCTATGTCGGGACCTGGTCAGGGCTTATTCGCTTGCGCGAGAGCATTTAGGATCGGCCCATCGATGTCAAAAGTAGTATTATGACCAGAAAATGCACGGCTGCTCGCTTCAACCTGGACAACAAGTCTACCTCCATACTCCGAATCCATCCTAGGGCGTTCCGTCGAAGCTACACAAGCAGTGGTCTAGTCCATTCGTGGTCGAGGAAGTGCATACTTATTCTACTTGCCGAATCTGCAGACAAGGTGCAGACACAGACCGTTCAGTTGTTGTTCATTCCAATCGTCTTAAACCGACAACCTTCAGTACGCATCCCCTCCACCGTCTCAGCGTCCCGTAACTGACACAGACCCCCCGGATGTGTTAATAGAAGTGCAAGTAACAACCACAGAGTCCCATGTGTCGGTTATTAATTAGGGCGTCGAGGGCGACGCCTATCAGAGGGGATGGTTTAGTGCCAGTGCTCTAACTCACTCTGATCTATCTTTTCCCTTCACATCGGCGTCCGGGCCATCAATCAAGAAATGTGGGTTGTATATCAGAAGATAACAATGACTTTAAAGGACAATAATTCTTATTATTTTGTGCTTCTTATTCCGGTCTGTACACAGTTGGACCGTTTTGTTTTTCATAACCTGAGTTTGATTTTTGCCAGTTACACGCTGCTGTGAGCAAGCTGTGTTCTCCCCTGGCTATTCGTATGATGTGACCGCCGTAGCGCTTGTTGCTGTTGGAATCAATGCTTCCCTGCGTCTTTTAGCTGACATTCTTTCGTGTCCCCCTGGATCGTTACACACTACATTTGTCCATGTGACCTAGCCCCTAGGTCGTCTGTCAGCGCACAGAATCGTAACGCTTCAGTGTCGCTGTAGCAAACCAACAGGTACGATGTCGTCGAGCGTAGACTAGATTGTGATTACTGTTTCCCCTTCTCTTTGCTTTCCTCTTTCATATGCAGTATCGTTAGAGCAACCATCTAATGCGTGTTTTCACACCATCCATTCGGTGAATTCACACTCGGTTCTCCATCAGCAGCTGTGACAATTCCGTCCAGCTTGCCACGTGGTGTAACACAGTCACACCCTCCATCCAGCTCCGATATTTACTAGGTGGTTGTCCAGCTGCCTACGAGGTATCTCTTTTGCTTTTCAGCCCCATCGATCTATTACTACCTACATACGCCCCTGACACGGTGGCCTTTGGAGCTCTCAACCGAACGTATGCTACAATAGCCATGATCTGGTTCCGTCCGTCGGTTTATCTGGTAATTCGCTTGTATCTCTTTAACTTACATGTTCCGACAGGTGCCCAGAATCCGTCTGTGCACCTCCATTACTTCTAGATCGAAGGTATGTCTCGTTTTTTCTTGCACTGAGGTTCTGTTTAGGTCACAATGAGTAAATTCGATCAGAAGGTTCTGGACTATCAACACCTAGAAAACAACCTCAATGTCATCAAAAAAAGGTATGGTTTTGACAACTTTATCTGCTTGACTCAGGCTGAACCGTCCGTTATCTGTCGCAGAAAAGATTCTCTATTCCCACCTTGATGATCCTCATAATGCCGTAAGTACTGCTGGCTTGTATCTAGCCCTCTCGCTTAGGAAATAGAACGGGGGAAAAGTTTTCTGATGTTACGCCCAGACAGAGTCGCAATGCAAGACGCCACGGCTCAAATGGCTATTTTACAGTTTATGAGCAGTGGTCTTCACAGTGTCGCTGTGCCCACGACGGTTCATTGTGACCATTTAATCGAGGCTCGAGATGGTGCTAAGTCGGACCTTAGCCGGGCAACTGAAACACACAAGGAAGTTTATGATTTCCTCTCTTCTTCATCTGCCAAGTACGGTATCGGTTTCTGGCACCCAGGTTCCGGAATCATTCATCAGGTTGGTGTTTCAAACGTTTTCTACTTCTTTGTCTTCACGTCATCCTCTTTTATGTTGATACCTGGTGATCCCATCCAGCTGCCAGTTGTCTGTAGACTAGTGGCTTATCCCACAATTCCTCGCCGATTCTTAGATCGGTATCCAGGCCGGTAGCCGTGTGATCTGCCCGCCTGGCTTGCAATCATAAGGTCACCAATTCGAATCCGCGTATGGGTAGACGTCCTCGCGGTATACTCAGCCCACGCGCGACCGGTGACGGTCGCGCGGCAGCGAAGCGCCGTTACGGCGTAAACCTGACGATTATTTTTTAAAAAAATTTAGAACAGTTAGCTCCCCTCAGTAGTTTGAACAACGAAATGAGAAGACGAATATTGGCAGATGCTAGCATTTCGCCCTAAGTTATTCCCAATAAGCTGAATCGATTGTTTGTTGAAGCACAATTTGAGTTTTTTTCGATCAACTAGCTGAACTTCAGTCAACCAGCCATGATGCTGTCAGTTGGTTTAGGAATAAGTTGACCGACATTGCTTATGAAGTCCTCATGGTACCGGCAAGCGAAAAGTGTTAGCTTACAAGACGTCATTTAAAAGCGCTACGAGAGCTAAGAAATCAGGGAGTGGTTGTACTAAACCTGGACACAGGTTCAGGAGCAGTTTTCATGAACAAGAGCGATTACGTACAAAAATGCTAAACATTTTAAGTGACGAAAGCAAGTTTCAACGCACCGACCGGATAGAATGTTTGACAGAGGTAGAGGCCCGTATAACCCGACACCTTGAAACGCTTCTGCTACATCATGTAATTGATGAAATTACCTACAAACTCCTGAAGCCGAGCGGTTCATCGACCCCACAGCTGTACGGGTTACCAAAAACTCACAAGCAGGGCATGCCACTAAGACCCATTTTATCGATGGTGAATTTCCCGCAGCACAAATTGGCTCGCTGGTTAGTTCGGATCCTTGCGCCACTGAGGCAGCACTTCAATTTGCACAGCATTAAGGACACTTGAAATAATCAATGACCTAGACAAAATCAGCCTAGCCGACAAGGTTGTGCTCAGTGGACGTTCAGTCATTATTTACTAATGTCCCTTTACTAGAGACAGTTGATTACATTTGCCACCTGATAGAAGAGGAGGATTTCCGTCTACCAATAACGGCAGATCTCCTGAGACAGTCCCTATTACTTTGCACGGAGAATGTTACTTTCCGATTCCAGCACACCTCATATCCCCAAATGGATGGAGTGGCTATGTGTAGTCCGTTGGGTCCGGTACAGGCTAATTTTTTCATGCTGATGCTTGAGAGGAAACTAAGTGGAGAGATTTCTCAGCTGCCGTATTACCAACAATATGTAGATGATATCCTTGGTTTTGGTTCCACGAAGATGCAAATGGAACAATTGGTAGACCAACTTAATAATGTTCACGCCAACCTGAAGGTGACTTTTGAATTCGAATCGAATGAGCGTCTTCCGTATCTCGACATTCTCATGAGTCGCAGGGATAATGGGCTGATTAAGCGACCTGTATACCGGAAGCCAACGTGGTCCGGCCAATACCTACACTTCATTAGTTTCTCACCGATGGCACACAAGCGCGCGCTGGTAAAAACATTCACTCGGGCAAAGCGTATCTGCTCCACATACTGCCTACCTGAGGAGTTTGAGCTGATCACTAAAGCAATTATGGAGAATGGCTACCCAAAGCGATTCATAGACAAACATAGCCAAGTTAGACCGCCCAAGGACATGGTGTTGACAGCCCCAAAGTAAAAGGTGTACGTCGAACTACCATTCAAGAGTGACACCGCAGCAAGAAGGATAACCAAACGCATTGTCTCGACCATTCAGCATACATACTGTGCTGTGGAGGCGGTAATTATCAACAGAACCCGAAAGTTGCCGTTACCTTCAGCAAAGGAAGATGAACCCGTCAGCGCCAAATCACATTGTGTCTACCAATTCGTGTGTGACTGCGGTATCAGTTACATCAGCAAGACCGAACGGGCTTTAGATTCCAGAGTGAAGGAGCACTTACCAAACTGGGTTCAGCGCGAAGTTACTCAATCCACCTCCGATGGTACATGTTCGTGTAAGCCGCCAGGGTCCTCCATAGGCAGACACATTTTGGCGACTCGTCACCAGGTCAATCCCTTATCGGCGTTCCGGATCTTGTTGCGTCATACTAATTCACGCCGTTTGCGATTTGCCGAGGCTGTCGTGATACACCGAATTAGACCAGCATTCTGTGTTCAAAAGCAATTAGTTGTCAACCTGCCGTTCCCGTGGTCCTAGTCCCAACAACAATGACCACAACTATAAATTTGACTAACTTGACCGTGCCCTATTAGACATATAAAAGGATTTCCCTGTTATTCTATTGGTACTGACGAGATAATACGAAATGTTAGCATCTGCCAATATTCGTCTTCTCATTTCGTTGTTCAGATTATTTTTTATCCGTTCGGTTCCATCTTTTGTCTTACAATTCACAGGATGTCGATTCGGCGTTTGTAAGGCGGATGACCTCGCAGTTCCTCTACTCCTCCCGCCGTCGTTGATAATCACGCGACAGCGGAGTATCTGCATGACGTATCCACGTACTACTAATGACTTTGGCATTATTGTCTAAGCCGCCGAGGACTGACTAGTTTTTGGTGCTGATGATTTCCCTGTACTCTATCGATTCTGGGAGTTGCTGTTCATTGAACTCTTTGAGTTGTAGAGGGCATAAGTGAAGTCCCGTCACTTCCAGTTCATCATTAGGCGCACGTATGCCGTCGTAACCCGGTAATCCTCATTGAGCCGGAACATTCCGCAGTAAAATGTACCTTCCTGGTCTTATGTATGTGGATGTCTAAAAACCGTTTTAAGCTTTTCTCGATCGGCGCATCGACAACAGTCTCTGGTAGACGGTTCCGGTCATTCACTACCCGAGTGGATAGTGTGACAGCGGCGCGGACTTTGACCGTCCTCGGTTTGAACAGCTTCCATGTGTGACTTCGTGTCGAACTATCTATCTTGAGCTAGGAACTTGTTGTAGTTCGTTCCTTAGCTCTCTTTAGGATGCGCCTGGTAATGATATGGTCTCCACGGTAACGACAGTATTCCATGGAGAACAGATTCATCTGCTGGATCCGGAGGGACTAAGAAAGATCACGAAGCCCGGGTACGGACTTAGAGCCACTCATCTGGACCTCATCGATTAGGGTACAATCAAGCTTACGGAGTAGGAATTCAGTTAACAAACCATCAAATAGAATCGGTCGCACGTGAGAAGTGAACAGCAGTCTGAAGATCTGCGGTGTCATTCGAGAAAAGGATCTTCTTTATGGCACAGCACATCCTTTTTGCAGCGGCGATTCTTTTCAGTGTATCCTGTGTATTTTTCAGGTCAGGCACAATTATTATGCTTAGATCTTTCTCCCGAGCGGCATGTTTGTGAAGCAACTTCCTCAATGGCTCCGAAGCCCCAATAGGCGTTGTTGAGATTAGACATTTCAGATCACAACCTGAGGCCATCGGCATATATCAAGCATTCGGTTCGAAATGTTGCAGGTAGGTGTTGTAGCCCTGCCCTGCCTTTGTTCTCTACCTGATGTGCCGCTAACCCAGCCGGAAAAAGTCGGAAGACGAGATATGCTAGAGGCCATTGATGTACAGCTTAAATAGTTTTGGTCCAAGGACAGATCCCTGCTGAACCCCGCTGGTTTTGAGCGTTGTTTATTAGTTTTCTATGCTACCTTCGTCCTTAATGCTTACATTCCGAAATGTTTGCCAGGTTTGTATTCGAATGCTGTATTGGTGATGCAAGGCCATATCAAATGTAGATTATACATTTTTCATCTTACGAACAACTTGGTCAGTTTCCCGACCAGTTATATCTCCTTAGATAAATTAGTATCCGGAGGGTTGAAGATGTCCAAATCGGACAGCTGTGTGCAAAGAATAAAGGGTCTAGTGCGTGTTGAACAATGTTTGTCCGTCCAGTCTGACTAACGTTGATGTGCAGCTCAGATCGGAAAATGAAACTCGACTCCCCATTGTCATCACTATGGGCCTGTTTGTCAATGCCATGACACAATGGAATATCTGTATTTCCACTGTGGCTGTAGTAAAACCTTGGCTCACGTCTCGTCTATTGCGATTTCCGTCCCTGTTCGCTATAAAATACCACTCCAATTACATATTGTTTCATCTGGCCTGACGAAGCCTTCGTGTCAAAAGCGATACGTTGCCTAACAAATACACCACACGATTGTTTCCAAACCTCTGGAGGCAAATGCTATACTTACATTGAAAAATCCAGGTCACAGTGGTACACCGATTTCCCCCCACTATCTAACGAAGTGGAAAGCAAGCTGTTTATTATTTATGTGCTAACTCAACTTCTACTAATTCAGATTGCATGGAAACAGTACTCCCCAATGATGGGTGCTTAGAGTCACTCGTTTTAACTATACACAGATAAAATACGTTTCCACGCTTCTATATCAACTAACCATCGGTTATTTATCAGCACGACGGCTGGGTATACCGCGAGGTCGCTAACACCGCGAATTCGAACCGGTGACCTCGGGATTACAATGCAAGCGCATCATTCTTTCGCTCACAGGCTGACTGGTTTCTTCACCAATTCACTCATGGTTTAGTCTGACTCATGATATCCCGGTTTATCTAATCATACCCCGTGGTGATAGCAATTTCTCTGGGATTGAGGGGTTCATCGACCGTTCAGATATCCATCACCCATTGCGCGAATGCTTGCTTACACGCACGCTGGGTCTTCCGTCTATTATATAGCGTTGGAAATCCTGTTCCGTTGCAATCAGCTATAGGTGGCGCGATGGCGTAGGCCTGTCGGTTTATCACGAGCATTTGTCTCGTTTCTGGTTGTGTCATCATATATGTTAGTTAGGTGACCTGGAACACTCACGGACGTCCGTAAAATCCAAAACCAGCTAATGTTGCTGAAGCAAACAAGTCAACTGTCCAAAA